GAAGAAGAAGAAGAAGAAGAAGATCCAGTCTAGGTAGACCGCGTCCTTGGAGGACCCGTCCTAGGTTTTCGAACAGAGCCACAGTCTTACATTTTAAATAACGAATCGCTCACGTGGTACGGCAACTCGCTAGGGTCCTTTAAACACCCACCCCAGCATGCGTCATCAATACAAACCTAACGTCTCAAACATCTTGGATTAATCGACACATGCTTTCAAACATCGATACGAAGAGGACGCATCAGTGTTGTTTTGTTAAAAATAATTAACGACCGATTTGCGTCCATCTTTGAGACAGGGACCATAACGGTCCGGCACTTAGTAGCATCCGTCTGGAAACAAGAACCCCAGAGCCGCCGATGCATGAGGTCCTTCTGGATCTGGATCCTTCGTTAACAGATTGGCTCCCTGAACCCCGCAGGGCTGGAGCAGGTAGGCAGTCTGCTCTTTCACAAGAAACCCTTTTGAATTTGAATTTAAACGCTGGGTGCGTGGTTGTAAGGATCGGTTTTGGGGAGCAGCTGCGTTTGCCGTTTTAGGATTAGATCCAAAAAGTAAAGTTTCATTTCTAAACGTTTCGTTTTTAATCCCACAGTGAGCTAATGGGCTATCAACGTTTATTTATGTATTTCTTTGTGTGTGGATTTGATCTGATGAAGTTAAATGGAGAAGTGGGTACCCCAAAATTCTACTCATTTAAGGGTAGTAATACTATAATATATTATCACTAAAGTTTAAGCTAAAGAATATTTGCTTAAAAGGCTAATCAAGAGCTGTAACTGGTCATAACGTTAGATTTAACATTGGGAAAAAATCAATAAGATATATATATACCAAGTTATGTGCAAATTCTGGAAAATAAAAATACATTTCTAACTCGGTTTAGTGTGTTGGTAATTATTGCAAATAGAAAACTAATTCCCAGCATCTCATTGATACTTTGTTGATCCACCATTAGCTTTAATTCAAGCTTATTTTAATATGATGCCACTGGATCTGGATCTTTATTTGAATCAGTTTGCATCTGATGGACAATATTCAGAGGATTTAATGCAACACATTTGAAAAATAATTGACAGGTTTATATTAAAACAAGGTTGGAAGTACAGAAAGATGAATAGAAAAGTATCCATTTAAAGGAGAAGTAGGTCAAGTGCTGAAATAATGGCTGTAAAATACATGTCTGTAATTAGAAGGCTTATTATCTGTAGCACTAAAGATAATCTGGAAAAGAAATTACATTTCCAAATTCCAGCTTACTCTCCAAAATTGTGAGATTGAATTAAATTTGATTCAATATAAAGTTACATTTCATGGGGAAAGATTTCAGTGTTGCACCAAAAAATGCTGAATCTCTTCTTTAAGTGATTGTAAAATGTTAAGAAATTCTTTACATGAGCTGAAATAAAAAATACACATAAATAGTAGTATAATTTTTACTATGGTGCAGTGCAGAAAGAGATTATAAAATCAGATGTCTTTATTGATCAACTATAAATACAGAGTTTATGTGAAGTGAAACAAAGTGATATAGCTACACCTTTCCAATGTTGCAGAGATTATCATCAACATTTTCTTTTTTCTTTATCCAGCTTTATTTACAAAAATGGTGAACCAAGTTCAACAAGTGGATGGCTGCTGGCATTCATGTAAAGGCGACTCGAGCGCAGCCAGCAACAGCAGCGGGGAGAGCTCCAAGGAGAGCTCTCGATGCTCAACGCCAGTACTAGATGCAGATCGCATTGACCGACTGCGAGAAAAGATGAGGAAGAGGATTGATTCTGGAGATCATTGGTTCTCTCTGGAGTTCTTTCCTCCTCGCACAGCTAGCGGGGCTGTCAACCTCATCTCAAGGTACGCTCTAATGTGCTTCCTAAATCTTATCCCATGTGTTTTAGCGATAAACGGTCTTAATTACAGCAAATTGTAACTTGTGGTTCCAATTTCAAGTTTAACCAGACCCTAAAATATATAGTTTTTCAAAATGGTTCTGTTTTTAACAACATAGCTCCTTAGTTTAATAATCGTAACTAAAAACCAAAAAGTCAACCCCTTGTGTTTGTGAATAAAGTGTTTTTTGGGTTTGTATTAGTTTCTTTACAGCTGTTGTCACCTCACCTCTTCTAGGACTTTTTTTTAGAGAAATGTTTATGGGAATTTTTTTTTTAGAAGGGCATCTGTGAGCTGAGATGAGAAGGCTCAGCTTAAACTAAGTGAATGATCTAAAGGAAAAACTCCAGAAAACTTGAAGTGCACTACTTGGATGACTTCAAGTTACAGTAAAATCTTAGCTGAGAGCTTGTTTGAGAATCAAATGAGTATAATTTCATCCTGTAACAGATTTGACCGAATGGGTTCTGGAGGACCCCTCTTTATTGATATCACCTGGCACCCAGCTGGAGACCCAGGCTCAGACAAAGAGACCTCATCTATGATGATTGCTAGCACAGCAGTGAATTACTGCGGCCTGGAGAGCATCCTCCACCTCACCTGCTGCAACCAAACCAAGGAGAAGATCACAGGCTACCTGGCTAAAGCAAAGCGTCTGGGGCTGAAAAACATCATGGCTCTAAGGGGAGGTAAGGGAACTAACATGCATTGCTAAGGACAGGTATGCTCTTGGAGCCCCTCTCTGGGATGTGTGGCATTTGTTGGGTTTGGAGTTTTGTCATGTATGCCTCAGGAGATAAGAGCTTCATGGGCCTGCTGCTTTAAATTCTTAGAAAGCAGGAGCCACACTTAACTTGGACTTCTAAGAAATTATGTGGCAGTACTAGTGTGCAGGGTTGGTGTGAATTGTTCCAGCTGCAACAACAGTTGTAGCAGAATTTAACCACAATAATGTAGAATATATAATTTTTCATCGATTTTTATTTTATTTTTTATTTTATAATTCAGTATATAAACTTGCCTTTATTCATTCAATTCCATGGTCCTATAGATATTTGAACACTATGATCCTTTGCTGTTTGTTGGTGGAAAAGGCTTGAGACTCTCTTCTTTCAGACTTAATGTGCAGCCCTTTTAGTCTCAGTAAGAAAAAATATGTCCAGATTGTTCTTTTTTTTCTGCTGTCACTCTTTTGATTAAGTGCATGTTTCCAATGCATTCATGATGTCTGTCATTGCTCTGTCACAGCAAACGCACATCATTGAGCAAATGTGTGTTTACTCAGTGCAGACATACAGCTTGTAAGAGGGAAGGAGAAACAAATACTTTCTACTTGGGCTTTTACTGTAAAGTTTGCATTAGTGATCCTATAGAAAGATGCATCCTTTCCAGTTTAACCAGACCCTCTTAGAGGATGATTGCACAATATATAATATGTTAAATTAAAGAGACAAACCAGTTCATGCTAACTATTAGCCAGCAGACAGCTAAAAGCAGTTAAAGGAGAGGAATGATCTTTTAGCTCCTCTCTGCATTTTCCTCTGTGAGAATTAAAAACGTCTTTAAAAAGATTTCATTGCTAAGGTTTGATTTATGCCAGGGTTTGGTTCTGATGTTCCAGTCTTACTTACACTTCTTTTTGTTGGGTCTGCTGCAACTTGGCTTAAACATTCTTTGATGGACTAACAAACAGCAGGTTTAAATTATTGTTTTAGCTGCATTCACTAAATATTGTTTTATTAATAGATTATGCTGCCAGCCCACAACATCTACACACTAACTGTTAAAGCTAATTTTTTTGTTCCACACCTCTCTGCAGATCCAGTGGGAGACGACTGGGAGGAGGAGGAAGGAGGCTTCAGCTACGCCGTTGACCTCGTCAAACACATTCGATCAGAGTTTGATGAATACTTTGATATTTGTGTTGCTGGTATGTCTTTTCAGTTTCCCAGAGTGAAAACTGAAACCTCTCTTAGCTTGTAGCTTTTTTTGTTTTTGGTCTGTATGTATGTTTTTTTTTTTTTTTTTTTTTTTTTTTGCTGACTAAGTTTCCCAGTGTTCTATATTTCAGTAGTTTTTTCTGGATGATTAGGATCATTTCTAGACCCTCTGCATTTCTCAATAAACCATTTAATTAGATAAAAATCAGGCGCAGAAATTATAGATCATGAGAAAGACCATAAACCTCAGTTGTAATCAATTAGATCTAAGGATTCCCGTGGTAAACTATTGGGAAGGCTGGGGTTCATGCTTCCCACTAAGCCTTTTATCTTTTACACTATGTTAATCCCTCACATCAATCTGAGCTTCCAGTCATTTCAGAGTTTGTTTGCAGGCTACCCAACAGGCCACCCTGAGGCAGAAAGCTATCAGCAAGATCTCCAGCACCTGAAGCAGAAAGTGGATGCAGGGGCGGACTTTATCATAACACAGCTATTTTTCAGGGCTGACACGTTCTTGAAGTTCCTAGATGACTGCAGGGCAATTGGCATCACGTGTCCCATCCTACCTGGAATCTTTCCTATTCAGGTACAAAGGACTCTTTCTAGGAAACGGTTATATCATTGCCATGAACCCATTAACCTATTCTCCTCTGAGGACACTTTTTCCGTGGCTTAAACATTTCATCTGTAAATGATACCTACTGATTAGATAAAACGGCGCATTAATATGTTTGGACTTTGTTCATAAAAGGCAGTGAAGTATCTTAACCGCCAAGCTCCCTGTTTCTGTTTTTCTTACTGATTATCTGCTGACTTATTTTTTAGACTAGACGCCGCTTTATTTAAAAAAAATATAAATATAAAAAATATAGCACCGGATATCAGGGCGACAGTGATTCGCCTACATGTAATAAATACTGGCATACCATAAATGATAAATAATGAACAGTTTAGTTCGTGTCTTCAAGTGATTTGTCCATAGGAAGACGTTACTTGGATATAACCTAACCGAATATCTTCAGAACAACTCTAAATGAGACAAAACTGATATGGCTGAGTAGAACATGATGTCATAACGTAAAATCAAGGGCCAAATGTAAAAAAAAAAAAAAAAACACCATTCCCCTTTAATATAGGGAAAAATGTTATTTTACAAAAGCAGTGTTGTTTTCGTCAACGATGAGGATGACAAAATAATTTCTTGATTCTCTTTTTTTTTTATCATAACAAAAACTGACGAGCTAAACGTGCATCTTTGATGACTAAAGCACAACTAGTCATTGGTTTGAGTTTTCATCGACAAGACGATACAAAATAAAAGTTAGCGGGTCGTCAGTCAGATGTTGAAACTGCATCATTGTGCTGTAATCTGTTAATCAGTATCAGCCATGTAGCTGCGTCTTGTTTGATCCTGCTGCCCACCTACCGTGTAGCGTTGCACATGCTGCAGGAGCACAGATGGATCACGGCAGCAGCGGTAGGGTCTGAAAAAATAACAAGGATTACTCCGGTAGTGTACTTTCAACTCTGACAAACTGCTCTGATCTTCCATCTGTGTTTGTGCAGAAATACGTCTTTGCACGCGCTTAGCTCAGAGTCTGCGCTTCCCGCTCCACTATGACGGTTCGCTCTTAGCAGTATGTCTCTACCTGCTCTCGCTACTTAATAAACTTTGTGGCTGATCATCCTCTGCCAAGTGTAAAAAATCCCTTTACTATCAATATTTGTTTTCTTCCAGCTCACAAGAGGTGATACTAAACATTCTTTAATTTTTACCAAAAGGAAACCCTAAATTATATCCCTAGAAAATATTTCATTGCATACAGAAAAGGTACATAGATCTTTGAATATTTCTCTCTCATTGTTGTTGTTTCTATCTATTTAAATATGATGTAAATGTTTCCTTGAATTGTCTTTAAAACATTTTCTCAGTTTCTTTTAAATATGTCAACATTTTAATTAGCACATTCATTCAATTTGTAACTTGATATCAATACAAAGCAAAATATTTGATACTGGATACCCTTTTCGATACCATGGAGTTAAAAAAAACCTATTAACATGAAAAACTAACCTTTTTTAATCTCAACACCGCACTTGCTTTCTTAACAGAATCACAGATTTTATTAATTTATAAAAAAAAAATTTGTGAAAAGAATTGTAAAATAAAATTCATGCAAAAATGAAAACTGTATAACCTAATTAACACATTTTAACAATAATTTTAGGTTGTTTGGGGTATTTTTCTTTTAATTTGCAAATAAACTATGAGTCTAAAATTAACAATAGCAACAATAGCAATTGTGTTTAATATGGATACCGTTACAAATTAGTACTGTATCCAGATACGTATGGATCATTTCAGGGGACTTTTTAAAACCCTACTCCAGATTATGCGTTGACCAAGGATCTAAAATGGGACACTAAATTAAAGTGTTTGACAGTGTAAAAAAAGCACGGATCTAAAAAAAATTTTAAAACAATACTAGACTGTGTCCTTATGACTGAAGAGTTCTGGCGACTCGTGTGGAGAAGATGGGAGAGCCACATTCTTTGTTTGGCCTAGTGATATATACACTGCCTGAAGTAGAATAAAGAAGAATAGTTTAAACTGGAGTCCCCTGGTATGTTGACTCTAATTGTATGTTTATATTTTTACAGGGATACCAGTCTTTACGTCAGCTTGTCAAGCTGTCTAAACTTGAAGTACCAGAGGAGATCACCAAAGTAATTGAACCCATCAAAGATAACGATGCTGCTATCCGTAACTATGGAATCCACCAGGCAGTGGGGATGTGTCGCGAACTGCTGGACAGCGGAAAGGTACCTGGCCTCCATTTTTACACACTGAACCGAGAAGTTGCAACCATGGAGGTCCTCCGACAGCTGGGCCTCTGGATAGAAGACCCCAGGTAGGTGTGAAATGCATCGGTGACAGTGAAAAAGGAAATCCACATTTGCACACATAGTTCTGTGTTGTGAAACCATATGCTTTTTTTCTTCTTTCCACACATTAATATAGTCTTTTTTTAATGTTTGGCAAATGCTATTTTCAAATGCTGAAACTTGATCCCACTGTGCTGAAATTTAGGCTGATACTCTTATAAAAAAAATAGTACATCGGCCCTTTGACTGACATGGTCTCCCTTCTTCAGGGTTCGGTCCAGAGCATTTCAGCACTGACACTGGTTACGCTGAAAGTTGTCAAATTTACACTGAAATTAGGCTGATGCACTGAATTTTAATGGCCGTAATGTTTGTATGAAACTGTGCTTTTATAGATGGGAAGAAAGGTTAGTTGATAAGAGAAATTGAGCTTACATTTTTTTCACAGAAATGACTAGATGGTTATTCTTAACGAACGGCAAACAATATTGATTGTTCAGCCAAATCCGAAAAAGCACCATAGCAACCACCTTAGCAACCAAATATTTCGCTGAAGCCACAAAACCAGTAGGGTCATGCCATCTGACAGATGCTAAAAATTTCTTCAGTAACCTGCAACGACGCAGAGGTGTGTGGCAATGCATTGCTTTGAAGAGGTTAGGGAGATTCTTTGAGTGGCCTTAAAATAAAGGCTAAACATTTTCCTCCTTCTATGAGGCATCAGGCTTGAACATATGGTTCAGCAGTTGCAGGACCTGTTGGCCGACTGAGTTCTGTTTGTCGTCCATTGAAATAAGTTCACTTAATGAAGATTCAGAAGTATTTTTGTCGCTATCATTTGTCAATCCAGCATGTTGGATAGCCATTTTCTGTCGGTGATGTCACACTACAGTTTGGTTTATACTCAGAAAGCAGTTCAGCTACGTGTGTGGCGTAGTGAACGCAAATATGCCCCCGCCCCTTCCGCAAACACTCTGGTGTACCGCTCCAAAATTGTAGATGTCTGCAGTCAGGTGGCCTCTGATTGGTCAAATCTAATTCCACTCTACACTAAGTGTATTTCCGGTACCTTGCTGGCTTGTTTTGTTTGTTTGACCGCCAAACGACTCGTGAAGATGGACCAGCTAAAATAGCGAGGTGCGCGAGAATGCTGGGACCCTTTTTCCACCTGGATCCACCTGCTCTTTTTCACCCTCATGTAGCCTCCATTGTCACACAAACTTGCCCCTACTTCCTCACTGCTGCGGCCGTACCCACAGACCCGCAGCTAGTTCATGATTGTCCCTCTTGCGTTGTGGCGTGGAATAACAGCACAGACCACGCTTCAATATTGGGCATAAATCAGAAGTATCTGCGACAAGTTTATTGCGACACACTGCTGCCGGGTATAACCAACCCTCTACTGGCTTTGGTATGTTAAAAAAAAAGAACTGGCAAAAGAGCATTTTTCTTTTTTTAAGGATTACCAAACGGTCGCTCTTCCCTTTGGATGGCCTAGCGTTGGTCATTTTTTTACATTTAACCTCCCTGTCACAGACACCACGGCGAAATTCCACCCAGGTTGCTTCACTGCGTCGTTAAATGGGAAGCACGTCTATCCGCTTAGCCGATTGGATATTAGCTACAGGAACCGGTGTTGCACCACATTCTGTGCTCAATGAGTCACAATTTATGATGGGGCACAGAATATGGTGCAACACTGGTTCACGGCTCAGAGCGCACACAGTTCAGCCATTATCCCCACCTGTTAAGTTTTTGACTGAAGAAAAGCTGCTTAACCCCACATCACAACCACATGCATCCCCTGACTGGTTAACGTTAGCCATAGTTAGAGTTTTCAACTTGCGTGAAATTTTGTTCCGACTTTCTTCTCTCCACGTTTATGGCTTTGAGGCTGGATTCCCCTTAAACATTTTTTTTTTTTTTTTGTCTTACAACTTGTTTTTGCTAGGCGTCCTCTTCCTTGGGCTGTTAGTGCCAACCCTAAACGGAAAGTGGAAGATGTCCGACCCATTTTCTGGGCCTCAAGACCAAAGAGCTATATCTACAGGACACAGGACTGGGACGAGTTCCCCAACGGTCGATGGTAGGCCTAATCAGAGACAAATTGTTTTCAGTCATTTATATATTTTCTTAGTGAGTTCTAGTTCTAATTAAAACCTGAAGTATTTGAGTGAACTGCAGTGGTGGATAGTGTGAGTTTGACTTCACTGCTCTGCTGTTTTCTTTAGGGGAAACTCTTCATCTCCAGCTTTTGGGGAGCTTAATGACTACTACCTGTTTTACTTAAAAAGTAAATCCTCTAAGGAAGCCCTTCTCCAGATGTGGGGAGAGGAATTAAAGAACGAACAAAGCGTCTTTGAGGTCTTCACATGCTACATCACTGCCCAGCCAAACCGAATTGGACAGAGGGTAAATAAGTCGATGCACAGACACATAAGTTGGTATCCTTACAGCTCATTAGGAAAGTAATGTCAAATGTCAAAACCTGCTGAGATATTTCTTAAAGCCTTGTTTGTATTGCTTGGAAAACATGTCAAACATTTCCCTTAGAATTCAAATTTATCATCTTTATTAAATATTTAGTGTTTCCTCTATAATAACATTATTAGATACTGTCAACATAAGTAAAAAGGTGCATTCTTCAATAAATCCTCGGGTTTTATGTCACTTCAATGAAACTGCATACAGTAATTTTCCTTTGTTAATTTGTCCCAAGAAGAGTGAGGTAATGGCTGGTGTTTGTGTTAGCTCATGTTTATTACTTCACTGTCACAGACACAGAGGCACTCCTGACCTTTTTAAATCATTGTAGTACTTGCACAACCGGCATTAACGCTCCGTGTCCTTTGGATTTTCTGTTTATTTGTCTTATTGGCAAAATACCTCTGAAAAACACTTTTTTTTTCCAATGTCGTTCAGGATCTTCTCTGTATATTGTTACTGTGGGAACCAGAGTTTTAAACTTGCAGTAGCAGCTTGCAGTTTTATTTGAGTTGTTTGAAATTATGTACAGGCTTTGAGGGATGAAAATGTAATTTACTGTGGGAATAGATCACAGAGGATACTGCATCAGAACATTAAAAAAATACAGGTGCAGCTTTCTACTAATGCATGCATGCATAATTAAGTATTTAATTAATTAAGTATTTAATTAATTACTTAATTTGAATTGGTATCTGTAACACCAGATGCCAGCTGCATCATTGTGTCATTTAACACGTGTAGATAAGCCCACATTTATCTATACGTGAGTTTTAGACGTAAAATTATTCATTGTTCATTGGGACAAGAGGTTTATTTCTGATGCATTTTAATAACATTAGTTAGTAGCAGTAAAAAGGCTTAAGTTTTAAAATACAATTTACCTCTAATATATTTACATTTAAAAACAAACTTACTTGAAGCATCCTTTGAGGCAATTCAACATTTGATGATTTACAGGAATTGGCTTCGAGTTTGTGGGATTTGAAAACTGCCTTTTGATTCTGAAGCTTCCTCCACAGATGCTCTATAGTTTAGGTCTGGAGTTAATCTTCATAATGGTAGAGAGACTTCCACTCAGAACATGTTGCTTATACTAAATGGGACAAAATGATTGATTGTAGGGTAGAAATGACTAAAACTAAACCATAGTTTTAGTTTTTTTGAGACTTAAAGCTGATGTTAGAAAATAAATAGGTGTGTGGCTGTTTTGCCTCACTAGAGTTTGAATGGGATCTCTGCAAACTCTTGCTCAAGATCGCAATGAAGCGCATTACAGTTTCCTAGTCTAATGGAGACAATGATGTTGGATTGACATTTCAGCAATCAAACTCAAAGAATATTTCTGCATAGTTATTTATATGTTGTTTAAAGATGAGGTTCATGTCTGTAAGGGTCAGTGACTGAATTGAAGACAGGTATATTGCCCGCAGAGAAGGTGATTGAATTTGTAGATGCTACTGGAGTCTGATGAGGCCTGCCAGTTTCTATAAGCTTCCATTTTTTTAATTGGTTTGCAGGAGGAAACTGTGCTCCAGTCACAGCTTTTATTCCTTGAGACAGATAATAATTAGAGATAATGATAAGAATAAAGAGGACTGTGGAACTCTGTGGTTTTATATTTAGTTGTGGGTCATCAGCTTAACGGTGAAGGAAACTGCCCAGTGATTGATGACTTGACCAACAGGAAGATAGATGGATAATAAAGATGTTTAACCCAAGGACCTAGGTTTAGATCAGACAAAAGGAAGATTTTCCCTTTTTTTTGGTTGAGTGCATAATTACCTGGTGAGAAAATAAATTGAACTTTTTAAACAGCATTCAAGTTTTTGGATCTATGTTTTGTTCCCCCTGGAGTCACAAAACATACTTTTCTTGAGCTGTACATGTAGTCTGGTCATGGTTAGATGGCGCTGGAGCCAACTCCACCGAGGCGCCATGATTATTAGAAATGGATCGGTCTGTCAATTCGTTTTCAAGGAAGTTGGAAAAAAGGAAAAGAGATAAAAAAATTGTATATTTAAATCTTAATTTCTGCCTTATCATTGTATGGGTCTTCATTTTATGTTTGGCTAAGCCTGGATCTCTTTCTCCATCCTTAGGTGATGTGTTTACCCTGGAACGATGAGCCATTGGCCCAAGAGACCAACCTTTTAAAAGATGAGCTTGAGAAGGTGAACAAACGTGGAGTCCTCACTATCAACTCTCAGCCCAATATCAATGGCAAACCCTCCACAGACCCCATAGTAGGCTGGGGTCCGCCAGGGGGATACGTCTTTCAGAAGGTGAAACGCTTTATTCTGGACATTGAAGCTCCGCCCTGTTTTGTCCTGTTGGGTCTGACATGATGTCTCAGTTGTCCTGTTTTCCATCCAACAGGCCTACCTTGAGTTTTTCACCTCTAGTGAAAATGTCTCGGCTCTCCTCAAGGTCCTGAAGAAATACGAGCCTCGTGTCAACTATCACATTGTCAATGTGCACGTAGGTCTAAGCAATGACACTCTTTCTAGTCAGTGTGTGAGAACAGATTTAAAAGAGGCCTTTTGATTATTTTCTATGCAGGGACGTAACATGACCAACGCACACGAGATGCAGCCCAATGCGGTTACATGGGGCATCTTCCCAGGCAGAGAGATTGTCCAGCCCACTGTGGTCGACCCAGTCAGCTTCATGTACTGGAAGGTAAGTTACCCAGTGTCGCTTGAAGGAATTCAGGAGTCTTTGGTTATTAGACAACAGGAATTTCCTCTGGTTAATCCACATCTGATCTTTTCACTCTCCAAAAAAATCAGAAAAATCTCTCACATGTGCCACTAAAGTATTTTCCATAGCGTCTACAGTATGAACATTTGCGCAACATTTTATCCAACTTATACGCCACTGCCAGAGCTCCTGCTGTCTTTACAGACTTCTCTGCAGCAGCAGTCTAATGGTCACTGTTATTAGGTGGGGGCAGTTTTTCCGTACTTCTCCATTGCTAAAGACTTTAATAATAACACAGAGACACCGGCATCCTGACTTCTAGTGACAGTCACACCCATCATTATGTCCATAAACAGTGCTCTACTGTGAGACGTCTACGTTCTCTCTCTCTGAGCATTCGGGTCATTATCAATTCAATTCAGTTTATTTATATAGGGTCAACAACACGTCATCTTAAGGAACTTTACAGAGACAATTTAACCAGATCATAAACTCAGATTGGTTCAAAGTTTTCTATCCAAGGAAAACCAGTTGATTGCATCGACTCATTGAATTAAAGGGAATCCCTCACTCTTAAGCGTTCTTGTAGCCAAAGTGGAGAGGAAAACTCCCTTTTAACAGGAAGAAACCTCCAGCAGAACCAGGCTTAGTGTGAGCGGCCATCTGCCGAGGCCCACTGGGGTTCAAGGAGACAGAAGCAAACATAGAAATAGAAGCAGAGATACAAAAGGCAACTGTAAACCAGCTGCACAGGCGGCGGCCCGTCCACGAAAGACACAGCCAGACAGACGAGCTCCGAGCCAGCTCCCATGTCAGATGATGAAGAGAGCACATCCAGCCAGTCTCAGAGAAACAGGACTACACTGAAAAACAGGCCAAGCTCCAACATCTATAAACAAAAGTGTTGATGGCAGCAGTGCTGATGATATATTATCATATCCTGAACCATTCAGTCTGACGTCTGTCAGGTCACATTGAATTTGAAGCATGAAAGACCATGGCAAGAAGATTGCATTGAGAATTCGACCCGAGCCTTAAAGCTACCCACCTTTGATTGATAGAAAAACAAGATAATGAGGCATTGTATAGTCATTGTTCCTAAAACCTTTTTTTTTTTTTTTTCCTTCATTAATAGAACTAGAATATGTAATGATAAGAGTTTTAACTTTATTTTTTAAGTGGTTTTAGTATAATTCCAGTGTAATATATATTATATAGCGTGTCTCCTAAAACAAACAACTCTCATATCTTCTGTTTTTCTTTTATTTTTTTGTCCTCTGAAGCTGCTTTTTGAACTTTATTTTAAATTTTTCATATTTATAAATTAATTTAAATAAACTAAACTAGCTGTTGTTTCTTTTTCAATAACATACTAAAATTGACTCTGTTTAAATTACAAAAATGGGTACATTTTTTCCCCAAAGTTAATAATAGAATTACTGATTGTTTTTATCATGGTGTTGAAAAGGCTTCAGAATAAATCAACGCAGCAGACTATGTTGTGAAGATACTAGAGCCACATCTTCGTTCCTGTGTTTTCAGGATGAGGCCTTTGCTTTGTGGATCGAACAGTGGGCCAAACTCTACGAAGACGAGTCGCCGTCACGAATGATCATCAAATACATCCATGATAACTACTTCCTGGTCAATCTGGTGGACAATGACTTTCCTCTGGAGAACTGTCTATGGCAGGTCATCGACGACATGTTCGAGCTCCTGGACGCTCCGCCCGACGTGCTCAGCGATGGGGCCGTTTCAGAATAAACTACTGTTTGAAAGAACCTGTTTAGGAAAGAAATCATTCAGGATCCTTTCTCATTTCACAGTTTTTAAGTGCCTTAGTAAAATGCTAATGTATTTAACTGAATTTTTTATAGTGTTTTGTAGATGCTGAGTGAATATGTTAACATGGAAAATGTTCTGTTTCAGGTAAATAGGAAATGCAGCACATTTTAGTTATGGAGCAATACAGCGACTTAAAAAAATCTGCGACATGATTAGGAAAGAAAACTAAATGTATTTTATGTAGCACCAGTTTATAACTAATGATGTCTGATACAGACGGATCCAGTGAGTATGAGAAATATATTTTCTCATTTCAATCTGATAAACAGATTGAGTTGCATACATGCCAATATTTTTCAAGTTATTAAGCTGTTTGAAGGGAACCCTGCGAAGTGTCTTTAATCACTGACGAATGGCAATACCTCCTGAATGAACCTGTAGAGAGAGGACTGGTAGTAAGATATGTTGGATGAGAGGAGATTACAGTTAGTTGCAGCAATAGCTCCTTTATTCTTCTCTCTGAAAGAGTGATGGGGCTGGAACATGAGCTTACAGGCGGCAATAGCTCAGCTGATGGATCTCTGGATGGTGTCAAAGCTCAGCAAAAGTAAATGAGGGAGTCAAAACGAAAAAAAACATGTTTACAAAAAAATAACAAATATGAAAATACCTAAGCACGCACAACTAAAAGCTTGTTAAAGGAATTTGCAAATGTAAAAGATTTTTTCATACCTGTATTTTTTTTTTCAGCTGACATTTTTCTTCCAAACTGCAAGCGGGTCAAATTTAGATTAAGTTACACACTTTCCACTTTTACCCTAATTACAATAAACTGGTAAAAAAAAAAAAAGGTTTCTCCAAGGAAACCCCAGCAAATTGTAATTAGTCTCTGACTATGCAGCAATCTATCATTTTCCTTGTTTTTTTAACCTCTTTTTGCTTGTGGTTATTATTTTAGTTGTGTACCACAACATGTTTTTTTTTTTTTACTAACAACAGCTAAGAGAAGTGTTTTGGTTTGCCTAAACTTGCATCATCTTGTGTTGCCAATTCAAAACCAATTGGTGAAGGGAAATATAGGCATAAGCAGAAATATTTCTGAATGAATGGTTTATATTGTTCTTTTAGTTTTTTTTTTATTCTGTAAAAAAATCCTTTTGCTTGATTTATATATCAAAAGAAATGTGTCTTAATGGCTCTTTTCCCATAAGGTGAGCAGTTGCCTTTATACAATATGCAGTTTTCCTTTGAGGTTTGGAGTCTCATTTCTCTTTACAAAAAATGAAAACAAAACAGTCTCATAAATAATGAATATGTCATGTTTTCTTTGTTCTAATAAGTTTTTCATTGTCTTTTTTTAGAATTCTGTGAGGTTTGAGTGTTACCTAAGCTTTTACACATTTTAATCATGCAATATTAGATGTAGAGTGAGGCTTTTTAATGTGATAATGGCGCTTTCAGAAAATCTATCAACTGCTTTGATATGTTTGAACGGTGCTTTGTTTTTTTTTTTCCTATATAGAAATGCTCTTAAATTTGATGGAGAAAAAAAAACTAAAATATGAATTAAAAATTACTCATTTCACCAAGTTGTGTTGCATGTTTCTTTTATAGGTGTGAACTGCCTATCTATTTTGAGACTAAGGTTAGCAGGTATTTGTTTAAAACCAAGAAAAGTAAAAGGTAAGAGAAAAGCTCTTTTATTGACAGATTTTGAAGGGGAGTCAGGGGCCCCAGAGCTGGGCATGCATACATTTTCTCCCGGCAAGTCCTTGTGGGGCTGGTGTTTGTCTCCGGCAGTTTACAGGTGAGAGACGGACTACTCCATGGACAGGTCCCCAGTCAATCGCAGGGCGACCATCCATCCATTCATTCATCCATCCATCCATTTTCTTACACGTTTATCCCAATTGGGGTCGTGAGGGGTGCTGGTGCCTATCTCCAGCTGTCTACGCGCAACAGGTTGCCAGTCCATCGCAGGGCAACACAGAGACAAAATGGACAAACAACCATTCATGCACACACTCACACCTAAGGAGAATTTAGATAACCCAATTAACCTAACAGTCATGTTTTTGGACTGTAGGAGGAAGCCAGAGTACCCAGAGAGAACCCACGCATGAACAGGGAGAGCATGCAAACTCCATACAGAAAGACAGGACCGGAAATTGAACCCAGAACCTTCTCACTACAAGGCAGCAGTGCTAGAGCTGGACAATAAGGCAAAAACTTAAAATAAGAAAGTAAAAAAAATAAGAAATCAGAATTTTACATACTATAAAAATGTTTATGATATCCAAATTAACAAAATAAAAGAATTTCATAAAACTCCAATATAACATGTTTGAAATGTTTGATTTAAAAAAAAAAAACAAATCCCTTAGAAGCAAACACATCAGTCAGTGACAAATGCTTTAATCATAGAATGGAATGTTGAAATATTAGAAATGTGTTTAAAAGTCAGTCATTTAATATTGAGTTATTGTCCATCCCTATCTGACCTCCATAAAAAGTCATGTGAAATTAGGGCTAGTATGAAGCTTCTCATGGCTAATTGGAGTTTGACTATTATTGCAGACCAAGTTGAATAACTGAAGGGATTTCTCAGTTTATGAGTTCATGGGAGCTTTAATAATAAAAACCTTAATGCAGCTCTCATTTCCTTGAAGATCCCTTTTAAACAGCTTGGAGCAGACCTTTGAAAGGGTTAATGATGAACTATTGTGAATGTTTTCTGAGTCTTTCATTGTTTTTCTTTGTTTGTTTGTTTGTTTTTGTAATAGCTAATAACTCAACTGAAAATGAAACATGTAATTCATGTGATCTCCAGTTTTTTTCTCATCAAGAGAATTTCATCAGCTCTCAATATTTTGTTAAATTTCTATGAGAAAAACCATCATTTCAGAAAAATAGGATATATTCTCACACATGCATGTATAGAAATGCCATTTGCACATTAAACTAAAACAGAACTACAGGAAATATTGTTTCCTCCCAAAGTTGTTGAAAGAGTCCTCTGGTAAAAAGTTATATGTTGTAATAATGACGGATTTTTTAGGTGAATGTCTACCATGACATGACTCCAGATACAAAGTCCAGGTCATAACACACAGTAAAGGGTATGGTGGGAATTTTCCATTTATTGAGTAACTTACTGGATCATAAGCTGCCGGTGCCAAATATGTCTAACAGATTGATGGCGTGAGGGGGTGGAATAAGTCCAAACATCGTGTGAGCCGGTAGTCCTCTCTTTGAACTTAGGTGTACACCAGGACCTCATGTACAGAGTGACCTCAGCAGACTTTGACCAAGGTTCATGCTCAACATAATAAACACTTTAGATTTCAGTCTTTACCTGTAGAATAATTTTAAGAAAAAAACAGTCCCTCACTTTATCTATTAGTGTTGTAAATACAGGCTGCCTTTCTTTACTGAACAAGAAATGAAGCTCTTAAAAGATCCATAATACATCCACCTTTAGCAGGAACAACTCCTTTCTTTGACATTTTAGCTATGCACACATCACTGCAGTCTTCCTTACAGTTTTTATACTTATTTAGTTGCACAGATGTTGGTTCCTGCACAGCTCTCTCTTGCGTCAACATTTCTGAAACAACCTTCAGATGTTGGCATCTTCTTTGTCCTCCACATTTAAACTGGGAGAATCAGAATTAAAATTACTTTATTATTCCCTTGCTGGGATTTTTTTTTCTTGCAGTGAAACTGTTTGCAGCAGAGAGATAATTAAGATTGCAAGTAAAAATAAGATATAAGAATAAAATTAGGATATGAATAAAATTAGGTAAGGAAAAGAATAAAATAAGATAAGGATGACAGAATACACAGGATATATACAGTATTTACAAAGCTGCTCAGTAGAAAATTACAAATATTGCACATGACTGTCTTATTGCGCATAGTAAAGTAATTAGATAAATAAATAAAATAAAATTTGATGGCCCTAGGCAAGAATGATTTTCTGTGGTGCTGTGTGGTGCAGCGTGATGAAATGCGTCTCTGACTGAAGGTGACCAGCGCATCATGAAGAGGATGTGCAGGATTGTCCAGCATGAATTTTATCCTGGCCACCAGTGTTGATGGAACGACCCAGGTCACACTAGAGGGTCTATGTCTCATGTCTTCCCCGAGTGGAGCTGGACAAGGTATCTGGGCTTTACTTCCCAGGCTGCTGCCAGGGCCCAGTCCTGGATAAGCAGATTATGAGCAAATACATTCTTAATTGTTTTTAAGTGTATTCTTTATTTTCTTTAGTTTCCTGTTTTTTTGGTTGACTATTCATTTTTCTCTCTTACACTGAAGGTCTGTAAGAACCATCAGTGTATTAAAGGTAATATTTATATTCCAGAAGCTTTCCTATGATATTTACCTTGTTCAGGTGGTAAAATTAACAGCTGTGACTATTTCCAGGAAAGCTTGGGACTACAGTGGAAGAATGCTGTAAAGTTTCTGTCCAACAGCAAAAACAGCTACTAAGATAAGAAAGAAACAGCAGACTGTAAATAGAGTTTTAAGGTCCAACTTTCCAAATATCATTCCCTAAGGCAAGTAAACTGACTGTATTCAACATTAACTATTCGTCTGGTAGATCATTTCCAGTCAGGGATTCCATTACTAAGTTTAACCATGCTCAGTGGGTCACCCCCAGAAAATTTCAGGTGTGGGATGGGATCATTAAAATCCTGGTATATTAAATTCAGGACCAATGACTCACTGAAAATGCTATATAAGCAAACTCTTAACACTGTTTGATGTTGCATTCACTGGTAATCGTAAAAGGCAAGCGTGTTCACTAACACATAAACAACTCGGCTTCATTCGTTAAGCTGAGTTCATATTCTGGTGGGCAGTGATGTTCTGGTTATCTCTGCCTAACCCTATACACCATCAGCAATAGTCTCATTTTCATTGACTTAATTGACTAAAAAGGACTTTTAAGAAAACACATTGTTAGAAATAGTGCAACTTAAACATATAACCAAGTTTGCTCGTCCACTTCCACTTTCTCTCGTATATCAGTAAATGAGCTCGTAGAAAACTTTCACATAAAAATTTCATACAGAAATCTCTGAGGAGAACATCAGAAGGCTGAGAAAATTCAGAATTTTTAAATTGTATTCTGTACATCACTACAAAGTCCAGGACTATACTTATCTCTAATCAAAACAAATGTGGACAAAATGACACACAATTATAGAAAATCTGCTTAGAAGAAGTATAGATTTACAAGCTCCTCATCCTGTCTTGATATTTTACCCACCACTGAAAATGATTACTGAACAGGACATTGACTGATTACAGTTTGACTTTGAGATCCATTGCTATGCACTGAGTCAGAGCTGCTGGAGGAACAGCATCAAATGCAACACAAAAAAAGATTTATTGTAAAGCCCAAAAAACTTTTATAAGTAGATGATATTGTAGGATTTCAGAACAGAGGACCCAATTTTTTTAGGCAGGACAGACAGTGGAATAAATTAAAAACCTTTATTTAACCAGGATCTGCGCTGTCAGCGGTTAGGGCGTCTATCACAAAAACATCTATAAGAGAGAAACACAGGTTAGTGACCATGATAATCTGATGGAGGATGATTATGAACGTGTTAATCACTAACCTGGTTTGACAGTTCAGTCCGTCCCTATAGAACAAGGATGATTCCAGCCGGTCGGCTGACAAGATGCAGTGGATTCTGCCAGAGCATTCCAGACATGGGAGCCTAGAAGGCTGCAGAGCTGACAGGAGATCAGATCACAGCAGATGAAGGAAGGCATGATAATCCACAGGGCGAAGTCAAGAAGCATATCCAGATTCAGTCCACAGAAGAATCCAACAGGAGTCCGAAGACAGGCCAGGCAAACAGTGCAGACAGGGGCAGGCAGGCTCAAAGGTCCAAATACAGAAACCGATCAGGTAATCAGAAAACTATAGAAATGCTAGAAAACTCTCTACACCAAAGGCCCAAGAATAATCTGGCACTGATGGCTGCGACTAAGGAGTTTAATAGGAAGCAGGAGTAGGCGGATCAGATAAGCAGTGATGAGGAACAGGGCAGAGTTAGACAGGTGAATGAAATGAGCCATTAAGCCCGGCATCAGCGTCAAAATCATGACAAATATATTATTTGAAAGCTTGAACTGAATTAAATTGAAACCAAGATTGATATGAAAAGTTTTACTCAAAAAATGTAATAGAAAATCAACGATATACACGCATACACAATGAAAAGTTGTAGAGTGTTTAAAATAATTAAACAAATAATTTTACGGTTAAATACCATAATTTTATGGTTAAAAACACAACAAAACGAGGATTTCAATATTCATTCTTTGTATTCTATCAGTGAAATGTATTGCCCTTGTCCCTACTGTTGGCAGCAGCTAAACTGATGATGGTGGAGGAGGAGAGGATGGCTTTAATGATGGTGGAGTAGAACTGCTCCATTATTGTCTTTGGTAGACACTGCATATCTCCAGAGAGGTGTTAAAAATGTGAATACTGGAGACAGCTGATCAGCTTTTTTTGCAGTTTATACCTCTTTACCTTTAATTAGGCCAACACTGAGACTGGAGCTAAATCGAGGAGTCACGGGTTTAGTTTATTTACTAGTCAAGAGTCTTGTGGAGCTTTAGGTTTAAAGTTTGATCTTTCTGAACCCCCTCCAGACAGATGGGGTGCTTTTTTTATTCTATTTGAAAACACTCATTTAACATCTTGCTTCTCCATGATAAACCTGTACTTTAACGACCATAACAAGTCTGTCCCCACTCCTAAATGCTTCCCTCTTTTCTAACCTTGGCTGCCTGAATTTATCTATAAATGAGTTTATCGTTGTTATAACCTGATGCGTGTTAATACACCTAATATTAAGGCTGTTCAAACTCAAACTTTTACTGACCTGTAGTTTACAAATTTCAGCATCAAAGCCATAAACATAACACAATAATCAGAACCAGGCAACTTCAGCTGCTAAGAAAAAACAAAACAACTGACAGCAGCACAGTTCCCACACTGCTTATGGATTCATGTTTGTGGATGTCTGCCCATTGGGGATATCTACAAATATTTACATCAATGCTACCTACAACTTTCTTTAAGAAAGTTCAACCTGTCATACTGTCTCATTGATCCAATTTGGTGTATTTCCACCAGGTCTTGACATCTCAAATCCTCATTCATTAGTTATTAGCGGGATATTAAAAACCAGTTTCAATAGTTAACTACTTTTTAAATAACTGGACGGTTTTGTGTCTTCCTGTCAGGTATAAAAGTACAGGAGAGTTTGGGAAGCAATGTTAGCTCACTAATATGAGCAATAATTTGTCAATGACATAAGTAACATGCAGGCGAATATCATGCAACATGATTGCTGTGTGTGTTTTTTAGATGGCAGAGGTCTCTTTTCAACAACTTTGCAAAAGATCATCGTTCTGGGAGTTCAAGCGGGCCTCCTAGTGATGGGATGTTAAAGTTCCTGGTTTAACGAACATGCAGTTGCTGCAGAATTTCCAAAGTTATAACAAATATTTAGTCACCTGTGTTACAAACTGATTCCAACCCTGAAGTGACATCGTATGACTCTCCTCGGTGTGCCCTTAAGGAAAACGGCAACTGCTTTAGGGTAGCTAGCTGCCTTAGGGGTATTCTGTATGTAGGTTTGTACAGGGTTTTTATCGAGATGATGTTGCTACCAGAACACATTTTCCTCATCAGGAGAGGTTCAGAGAGAGGGAGGGGGATACCATAGCTCCCAAATACTACCCACCATAGAACCATAGCACTGTCACACAGCTGATTTCATAGAGGCTGGTACTACGAAATCCTTTCAAGTCATTGTGGATTGAAATAGACTGTTCTGGATTGTGTTTGCTGAATTTTATGTTGAAGCTTATAGGATGCTATGGTTCTGGGAGTGTTCTCCTTATGGGAATCTAGCCATTGCTATGCTGGATCCTCAGACTCAGGGCTTATGAGACACACTTTAAATACGATTATTAAGTTACAGCTTCAGTTATTATAATTAGAAAACACAGACCAGGGTCAAGATTTCAGAGCATTGATGGTCTTAGGCCTGAATATTCAGAGGCACAAAAAGGAATATTACTTTGACAGTCCTCTTTCAGTTGTACAACATTTCCAGGATCAAAGGACTGAAGTCCCAATGGGATCATGAAATACTCATCCTCCATGTGTTTATCTTTTGCTAAATTGATTTCTGCAATGCTATCTTCACGGGTTTACCCAAAACGTCAATCAGACAGCTGATCAATAATGCTGCTGCCCCTGTTCTCACTAAAACAAAGAAAGTAGAGAAATTTAACCCAGTCCTAACGTCTTAGAGAAACCAGCTCATTAAACCAAGACTTAACATTTCTAAAAACCCATTTACAGAGTGACATGATGCCAACAACCCAGGGATGTGCTTCAGTGAGATCCATGATTACACTAATAATGGAAATTAGAACTTTTAAACTCATCAAGAAGTAAATTGCCCAATCTCTCAGGCAGGATGTTGTTCTGTTAATTATTCCTAATGAGCGGAAGGAAAGTTATTATAATAGCTGCAATTAAACGGTATAACCCCATCCAGAAATATATGCAAGTCATACATAAATGGCACTGAGTCCATTTGATATCTATTTAAGGTAAAAAAGGAACTGAAGTTATGGAAAACTAGAATTGCCTGAGGTTAAAAGGAATACTGCATGTGCATGTTGTGCATCCTTGAATTACCCATGCAAAAGTGGTATAAATATTTGAGCCAAAATTAATGAAAGGAAACTTAGAAACTTGAGTTTATTAGACTCCATTAAGCTTTTCTGGAATTTTTTTTTTATAAAATGTCTGTATCTAACAATTTGTCTTAAAATTACATTTTATTTTTAAGCCATTTTTGGAAAGACTTTATTTGTTTTTATTTCTGTTCATACTTCTTGTTTGGTTATTGCATTCCATACACTTTTTATGTATCAAAATTATTTTCAAGGTGTGTGGGTGCGAAATGATAATGTGGGCAAAAACAGTTATCTGGTGAATGTCTGAAAAAAATCAATATGGGTAAATATTAGTGGAGATCTATTTTCTTTAATGGATTGTGATATGACAAACTGGTATCCAGGGATCACAATGTTTCATTGATAAAAACTGGTTAAAAGTTTGCAAGTGCCCTAAAATATGTGTAAATAAACTGTAACTTAAAATAACATAATAGTAAACTGATGAGACAATACTTAGAGAAATACTGAGAGTCATAGGGCTTGTCTCAGACACAACCCTTGATGTGATTTTAGTTTTTATTTACAGCTTTTCTTTATAATAGTAGACTCACAAACTGCTTCCTTCTGAAATAATAATAATAATAATAAAATCTTTAATCATTTTCTTTTTTTTAAACCCCTATTGCTCAGGGTGCCGGCTGTTGATTAATCTTTGTGAAGATAGAAATAAGCAATGATGGAGAGATGAAGCTTCATAGAGCATTGAGCAGCACTACTATGCCATCAAGTGGACAATCAACTTAAAACACATGAAATAATTTTGGTGAATGAAGCTTTGATTGATTAAATGAATGAATGATGGCTGTGATGCTGATGAATTAACCCTGAATATTCTCCAAATAGGTTTTTTTTATTTGACCTTGTGATACAATCCTGGACCAAAGAGGGAAGTAGAAACACATATGGGAGAGGGCTATGATGGAAATGTATGGAGTTAAACTATCCTTTAAATCAAATCAAACTGGGGACAAAACTCGAGCCTGATTAACATTGAAGGGGGCAGACTGTTTAACCATTTAACCAGCATCTTTTGTTTAACAAGATTTTACTTTATGCTAAAAAATCACTGTACAGCCTTTCATGGGAGAGTCGAGCCTCGTTTAGATCTATAAAGACATGGCAAACGGGAAAAAAATATATAACACTCCACCATACTGAATAGTAAGGTTCAGTAAGTCGGTTAGGATTATCTTAAAATAAAAAAGGTCAAACGTATAACAGTAAAAAAAAAATGGAATGATGCTTCATGGGAGCAGTTTGGCACACTCCAAAACAGTGGTGGCGGTAATGTGCGTCTACAGTTGTTTGTCAACCGCCAAATAAACTCGACGAAGAAGAAGAAAAAGATAACTCTTCTGTCAGCAGGTGGCGGTAATGCGCTGAGTTCCGTTAGGGACACAGCAGAGGAAGTTCGAACTGGTAGCTTTCAGGCAGGTAAAAATCTTTTAAAGCGTACAGCTCTTGTTTCTTAATTTGTTCTGCAATATTTTAATAGTCTTGCTAACAATAGTAAGACGTAGAAAATACATTCATGATATGGTTACAGCGAATTGTTTAAGATATTGGTTTAGTTAGCAGTGTAAGTTAGCATTTAGTTTTTAGCACACGCTAAGTAATGAAATGTCACTGCTTTTATTAAACTAGACATAAAATATTTATTATTGTACATTACTCAGTAGACACTTAATATAGTAGATGTCCTGAATATATTGAGTCCGTTATATATACTGTATATTAGAATAAATCGTAAACGTGAAATGCTAATAAACTTCTGTTGTGATAGGAGTTTAAATGAAAGATGGATCAGAAAATTCCTTATGATGATTATCAGCTGCCAGTGGTGTTCCTGCCCTCTTATGAGAACCCACCGGCGTGGATTCCCCCTCAGGAGGTGAGCTCGGACATAAACGGTTCTGGTGGACGTTTGTTTTGTAGTTGAAGGAAGATCTGTGCTTAGGGGAGGCGGAGCTCAGTTAACTTAAACTATAATGTTTTGCTTTACTGAAAAGCTACTTTCGCAACAAAGATACAGCTCTATAAAGTATCAATAAAGTCAGATGTCATCCAATTTCACGGAATGCATTTAAAAGTTTAAATCTTTGAAGTTTCTTTGATATATTAAAAAAAAGTCATGGTTGATTGAATTCAGTTTGTGTTTAAAAAATATTTTGCAAAAGTGTTTAATTTTCTTGCCTTTTGGACCAAAGAACACCCATAATGAACATAAATAATGTTCATAATAATAACTATTAGTTCTGCAATGGCCATACTTGGACCTTGACTATTAAGGACCACATACATATTCAGTAAATCTGTCTGTTATCTGTGACACTCTTTGTTTTATATGTGAAAATTCTAATATGAATGTTTAACATTCTTTAGATCTTCCACAAGCAAGCAAACAAACAAACAAAAAATATATATATATATATAGGGTATGATATGATTGTCACTGTATGAGGACCTTTAGTATAAATGTCTTTAGATTTTTCCTGGGTGCCTTTTGTTCAAAATAATATTTTGATTTACAATTTTTCTCCTTGACATCTTATTTGTTTAGATTTTTTTTTTACTGACTGTAAAAAAACAGTCTGTCTGTTAGCTCTCCCAAATAGTATGTAAACATCTAGTTTTCACTGTGTGATTCTGGTCTGTTTAACAGCGTGTTCATCACCCAGACTACAACAACGAGCTCACCCAGTTCCTGCCTCGTACCATTGTGTTGAAGAAACCCCCAGGAGCCCAGCTAGGTTTCAACATACGTGGAGGCAAAGCATCACAACTAGGAATCTTTATATCTAAGGTTTGTCCAGGTGTAGCAATTATAACCCATCGCTGCCTTCTTTCCAAAAACAGAGTGATTTTGTAGTAATAGTTCCCTTTTGTGTTTTCAGGTTGTCCCGGATTCAGATGCTCATAGAGCAGGACTTCAGGAAGGAGATCAGGTTCTTTCTGTGAATGATGTGGATTTCCAAGACATAGAACACTCCAGAGTAAGTTGTAGCACAACTCGTAAAGTTTAAAACTAATTACCTTTGTCACTATTGGTTGTGCNAGCTTTTAAGCTTGACTCAGGATGATTGAACATCTTTCATCAAAGCAACGTGGCACATAAAGATGAATAACTATGGCTCAAACTCTAATAACCTTTTTTTTTTTTTACTATACTGGAAGAACCTGAACCAGGGCTGGAAATGAACTGGATTGTTCCAGAGCGAGTAGCAAAACTCGTTCCATGCAGTTTCTGGAGAAACCAACCTATGTGAGGAATGCAGTCAATGGCACAGATTACTGCAGTATGTTAACCTTTGTCAGGTTTATTTTAAAAAGTCAAACTCAAATATTCTGAGAACAATAAAAGGAAAGACTAACTTCAGCCAAAAGGACGTCATTCCATTCATGGCTTCATAAGTTTAGTGTAATAAATACAACAGTTGTGGTTATGACCATACTCCAATAGTAAACCAGAATTACTATTTACATAAAATGGTTCTTTCCCTTTAAGGTGACGATAGACGTCTGTGCTTCAATTGATTGCATAACTTTTTCATTACACATTAGAGGCAAACATCAGTCAAAAATTAACTTCCAGTAAAAAAAAAAAACCTAACTTGCACAAATACATTATTCTTAAAAACAGCTAAATATCTGTCAAATATGTTTTAATCAAAAACAAATGAATTTTAGATGGTGGTCCCTTTACATAAAGAGACTTTTTTTAAATGGTCTCTGAGATATATATAAAAAAAAAAGTTAAAAGTTGTGTTTTAGTAATCAGGACTAAACATGAACTTATTTTTAGTATACAGACAAAATAAAATATCCAGCAGCTGCACTCCATTTCCTTTCAAATGAAGCTTTTTGAAAAACAGATACCCCTGCAGATGACCCGTTTGACTGTAGCGCTTTTAAAATATCCCCCACCTCCAGTTGTGTGCACAAGCTTGGGTTGAGTGAGGTGAATGAAGCCTTGATCTGTGCTCTTTTCTGTATTAAGACAAATGTAAACACTTGATGCTCTTCTTTCTGCCATAAGGCACATTGATGTGGAAAACTTGAGGATTTAGGTGATCTCACAGAGAACTGGGATGTTAAAGTCTCTCTTAAAAAAAACAAAAAACAAAAATATATATACATATACAGGTCATCCCCTAAACTCTTCTCTGGCCTCCTTTCCTCCTTTAGTGGTGTGTGATTTTTAGCTGCTGTCCTCACTTTCCTGAGCGTCCACTTTGGAGCTTTCGTCCACGTTTTCAAGCGAGTCTGATCTCTGTATGGACAGTTCGGCAGGGTCCATCATGGGAAGGGTGCTCTGCTCAGGGTGGAGCCAGGGCTTCACCTCAGGAAGGTGCTGCTGTTTCCATGCTGGGTAGTTCTGTCCTGCCTTGTGCACACTTTTCATCACCTGGAGAGATTAAAAATGAGGATCAGAGGACTGCAACATGAAGAAGAAGAGTTTTACCACCCCAGTCCTAGTTAACAGTAAAACTGGCCATATATATATATATATATATATATATAATTCACATTAAATGACAAGTTTGTTACGAAAAAACCCAGCTGTAAATATCTAACAATTTATCCTATTTAGTCAGCATGTTGTATATGTTGGGCTTTGATTCACTTTCCCATTGTCTTTTTCACCTGATCACTCTTTATCCACTTTTTTATGTTTAGGTATTGAAAATAAAAGCATATAAACACTAACATACTAGGAACACAATATTATGTATCCTTTAAAAAAAAAGGTAGATATATTGATACCACTTCGGTGTAATAATTATGTGTTTTTGTTCCACCTCAGACTACCAAAGACAGAAGGAGAGAACCGTCCACTAGGTGGCAGCAGTTCACCTAAGCCTACACTTCATTGGACATCATTACTGTTTTTACTAACTGTTGGCTACCCTGACACAGCTTCAGGAAGACTGATTTTCATGTCTAATTAAACCCCACCATGTTAGGACGATATGTTTTCTGTACTGGTTGAAAACAGTTAAATGGTGCATGTTGTGCAGAAAAAGTCACAGGCTTCACATGTAGTTATGTAGTTCATATTTGGAAAAGTAGAAATTTTAACCTTATATATTTTATTTATACAGCTTGGGACTTCTCATGTGTACGGTAGTATGTTTTTGGTTTGTGCAAATTCAGTTCTCCCCTAGTTCAAAGATATTGTCTCACAGCGGGGGGTCATTAGGCTACATTCCCATTTCTGGTAAATGCCACTATAATCCATTTTTGTTTTTGCCCATATGCAACTAATTTCCTACTTTCATGATGGTCAGAATGTCCAACATCCGATCTTTTCAACTCCCAGAAAAATCTCCAAGTTGTGCCGCCTCTATATGTGGCACTGAATCAGATATCCAGGCTCTGATTACTACTGGGTGCAATAAAGTAGTAGTCTGAACAATCTTGCAGGGAAAAAAGGATTTTAGCAAAACAATCTGAACTGAGCATCAATATCTGCATTGTGAACGTGGCCTTAGTAGATAAAAGACCTACAACTTACAACACTAATATGTATTTGGGACTAAAGTCCTAAATGATAGAAACTAGCAAAATCAATTTAAGAACCTAAGCTGTAAGAGGAAATAGTGCAGCACTTTGCATAAATTTGTTCTGTTACTAAACATACTAACTGTTTTAAGTAATTATCAAAAATTGTAATTGTGTGTAGAGTTATGGAAATTTTAAAATATTTATAATCAAATATAAATTGTAACAGATCTTTTGTGTGAAGTTTTTTATTCTGAATCATTAACACAGTTGAAGCAGTATATTTTCAAGAACCATAAAGTTTAAATGTCTATATATGTGTTTTTCATAGAGCCCAAATGTGGAAATTTAAAAGAAGCAACCAGTAAGGGCTCCCCTGCTGGAGGTGTTAAAGCTGAAGACTATTATTCACAGGAAATATAGAAAACAAAGCTGAGGAGAGGAGGTGCAGGGTCAGAGGTCACTGTATGCAGAGACTCCCCCTGGTCTAAGTGCTGGAAACGACAGTTTATTTTGTGCAGACGAGTCATGGATCATTGAAGGGCTAGAGGAGCTTTCTAAAAACATGCATACAAGATGGTTGAAGTGTTCAGCTGAGAACGAACATGTTCAATTTATTTGTCAGGAAGTGCACCTGGAAAAGATATTGGAAAAAATATGTATTAATTCTTCAAGCTTAGAGCTCTGCTGGTGAAAACAGTTTGGCGTGAGGATCGCAGCTGAGAGTTTTAGGGGATGTTATCCAAGGGGAGATTGGCCTGTCTTTTTGGGATGTTTTCTAATAGATAGACTATTGCTCCATTCCTTCTTGGTTTTTGTATTCTGATCACTGATCTTACACCTGTTTTCTTTAAAATAAATCATAATTTGTTTTGTTTTTTTGGTACTACTACCATACATGCAAACATAGTAATAGTTATTGTATCATTCACATCCATTTTATTGAGGAAGAAAATTATTTTGCTACTGGCAGTTGCTTGTTATGCAAGTTATGTTCTCTTGGCAGTTGGTGGTTACTAGAGTAACCAGTAAAACCCCCGCCCCCTTTTCTGCCACTCTGCTAACTGGTATGTATTACGATCCGCTCTGTGTAGTCTCGCACTGTACCATATTTCTTAGACAAATGTAGCTTTATAAAAGGTTTCATGTGTAATTTTGCATATATACAAAGTTACTGCTTTATATTTCATTAAGTCCCTTGACAACTATTTAGTAGGAACCAGTAATTTCTACTTTTTATTTGTTGTATTCTATTTAATGTTGGCTTATAGGGGCATAATCTGCTCTAGTATTTTTAGTCACCTGCTATGTTTGCTCTTGTGGGGTATGTTTTAATTTTAGATCCAAAGAATTGCTTCAGTTGTTGTGTAAAGGTCTTTGAATGTAAGATAGACCTATGCATGTTTTTCCTTTATTGAAAAAAATGCTCTTTGCTATTCATGCTAAAGTTATGTGGAATAATTCAGAATACCACTACATGATCACAGCTTGTTTTCCCTTTTCTGTCTGTGAACTGGGGCAGACGATTCTGGATTATAGTTGATATCCAAAACATTTCCGCTCTATTAAAATGTCTAAAATAAGCCTGAGTGTATCGTCTTATCAAGTTAAAACGACTGAAAGAAGATGAGTGAAATTTAGGTCTAGATATACTGTAACCATTGCTGTTGGTGTGTTTTACAGTAATTTTGCAATAGCCATTACCCATAATGCACTGCTTATTGTACATCTCATTAGTACTTAAACACTTGTTTAAAGGCCATCAGTTTGGACCAAACCATCTAAATAATTTACATTGATATAGTGCCAGATTATTTTAAATATTAAACCTTTTCCTCCTTTTTTTGTTCAGTTTTTATTCCTTTTGTTATTAATTATAAATGTTTTTAGGCAATTTGGTTAATATTTTGCTATAGTTTGTGGACATTTTATGTCAGTAGTTTTGCCAGCTAGGATGTGTTAACAGAGATGGCCTTGTGATTTATTTTTATTGCTATGTAAATAGAAACATTCAGAGAAAAAACATGTACAAAATGCAAAAGTTTGACTAGCTTTTTGTGAAAATTTACCTGCTCTTGCACACCTGCACTTTAAACCGTGCGAGTAAAAGATTGTGTAATTTTTGGCTGAGCTTTTAAGCTTGACTCAGGATGATTGAACATCTTTCATCAAAGCAACGTGGCACATAAAGATGAATAACTATGGCTCAAACTCTAATAACCTTTTTTTTTTTTACTATACTGGAAGAACCTGAACCAGGGCTGGAAATGAACTGGATTGTTCCAGAGCGAGTAGCAAAACTCGTTCCATGCAGTTTCTGGAGAAACCAACCTATGTGAGGAATGCAGTCAATGGCACAGATTACTGCAGTATGTTAACCTTTGTCAGGTTTATTTTAAAAAGTCAAACTCAAATATTCTGAGAACAATAAAAGGGAAGACTAACTTCAGCCGAAAGGACGTCATTCCATTCATGGCTTCATAAGTTTAGTGTAATAAATACAACAGTTGTGGTTATGACC